CCCCCGGTGCCCCCCCCCCCCCCGTGCAAGCAAATGCTGCTGGGTAGGAGGAGCTCAAGAACGCTGCCAGACTCCATCCTCCTCAAGACAGACTCCCGAGCACAGACCCTCCCCGAGGACCAAGAATTATAACCAGGGCAAGTGAGTTTGGCTGGGAAACCACCAGGATGTTTTTACCTGGGTTTGGGGAAAACACAATGATAGCCCTGCACCTTGTTTTATTGCGAAACCACCATTTTGCAAGGGAGGGAGAAATTAATTTTCTTTTTTAAAAATAGACTTTTTTATGTCTGGGGGGAGAGCCTACTCAGAGGCCACACCAAAGATGAGGGTTCTGCCTTTTGCCCTTTCCTGTCCCAGGCAGAGTTCTTTGCTGGAAGCATGGATCGGCTCAGATCCCTCCACCTCACCAAGAGTTCCCAGTCCCACCTCTCTTGTGAAGCTCCTCCCATTACACCAGCCAGGGTTTAAACCTTTCCCTGCCTTGCTTCCCCCCCCCCACCGGGCACCTCCTCCCCCACTGGAAAGGAGAGCCATCCTTTGCCAAAGGCAAAAGACACTCGCCACCTCCTTGCCAGTCTTGGTCCCGGGTGGGGGAAAAATGGGGCTTCCCAGATCCCTGGGATACGAGGAGGACCAGCGTGCCGTCATCACCGCCTCACTGCTGTTACTGGAACAATAAACATTTTCTACCAAAGAAGGGAAGATTGTTGTCTCTTGGGAGGAGACACAAGGGGGAACCTGGAGGAACCAACCGTCCATGGGGCCCACGTTGGAAATCCGAGAAAAAGCGAATTCAGGATGTTTCTTCTTCTCCCACCCCAACCCTCCACCCCCTAAGAATCAGGACAGCGGCTCAAATATTGTTTTCCATTCATTCCACACAGTATTTAACCGTACACTTGAAAAAAAAATGCTTTGTGTTGCTAGGAAGATTGAACACGGTGGACCTCTCGTCTCCCGCATGGGTTCCTGGCTTGCTCCTTCATTTGTGTTACCCAAAGCAGCTGAGCTCCTGACATAGAAGGCATCAGCTCAGCTCTTGCAAAGCTTATCTTGCTTGGGGATCACTTCATGCAAGGATAAAACCCAGTTTTGAAGCTAGGAGAAGAGGCAGAGGTAGAGAAGAAAGTCACCCTCACCTGCGGCATCCTCTCCGCACCACCTCCCGCTAAAGACTCCAAGTGAGGAAACAACCCACCCTAATGAGTGGTGTCAGTGTAGTAAACCTTTCTGGCCAGCAATGCAAGTCACCCTTTAGGTCTCTGATCGTCCCTCAGACTGGGGGAGAAGGGGAAGAGTTTATTCTGCCCTTCCACAGCTGTAGAACGGCCTGTTTTCCTCTTTCAGAATTAAACAAGGAGAAGGGCCTGCTTCCATTTGCTTTCTTTAAAAACAACAACAACATTCCTGCAGAGATACCAGTGGAAGAGGTACAGGTGCCCCCCCCCCAGTGAAATGGCTTGATTTTCTTCTGCTCTGAAACCCAGGTAGGATTTCACATCCCCAAAAGAGCAAGAAATGGATCAGTGGAGTCAGGCACCTGGCCATTCCCTGAAGAAAAGCTGGTGGAAGAGGCGGAAGGAGGCCCACCTCAGGCGAGGGCCAGCCTAAAGTTAGTCACCTAAAAAGGTTCTCCCTGGTAGCAGCGGAGGCAAAGAAGCTGGCCCTCCACGGAGCTTTTGGGGCTCGACCCGTAAGTTCCTCTGGGCTGCTCGAAGGTTCCTTCAAGGTTATCTGTTGATCGAGGAGTAGCCGGCATGGGCCGTGGCGCTCGGCTGCACAGGTGTCTTCTCCGCTGGCCCTGGTTCGGAGGAGGGAAGGCTCTGTTCCTCGAGGATGCGGGCATGGTCTTCCTCTTGGGGTGGGTCCCGGGGCGGCAAGACCAAGTCGGAGAGGCCGTGTAGGTCGGCCAGCTTGTGGAAGGTCTGGAGCAGGAGCAGCATGGCCATCAGCCCCAGGAGCAGGTACACTGGAGGGAGGGAGGGAGGGAGGAGAGGGGAGAGTGTGGCCACAGAACCAAGCCGGACCCCTCTGTTTTCCTCCTAACTGGCAGAAACCCACCCACACAAGGCTGGTTACTCCCTTCCTTCCCTTTAACTTCAACCTGTGACTGCCTTTAGGACTTCAGCCTGAGAGCCGAACCCCCCCTTTGGAAAAGAGAAGAGCTGAATGTTGGGAGGCGGGAGGGCTGTGACTTTCCTTCTCCATCACCACCAGCATCACCTCTTCCTCTTTTCACTTCCTCGCCCCTTCGTCCTCACAGCCGTAGCCCCAGGAGGCAGGGACAGACTGAGGGAGGAGGACCAACTCAGAGCCATTCGGTGTGTTTCATGGATGGGAGAGGTTAGTTAAGTCTCCCACTCCCTGGGACACGAGGGGCAAAATCTGAAGGGGACAGGCTTCTGAGGTCATGAAAACCAGGCAGGCAAAAGTGGCACCATAACCCACCCAACCCCCTGGATTTTTACTGCTGTTTCTGTGTTTCCACAAGAAGACTCGGGAGTCACGATGCTTGTGGTCCATTCCTTTCCCTCCTCCAAATGGCACAAGGAGACCAAAGGTTCGTTTTCCAGAAAGCAAGGGATGGGAAGAACAGCTGGGGGCAAACAGCAAATAAACCCTGGCACCCTCTTACACCAATACCAAGACTTCTCCTTTCTTCCAATACTGATGCTCCACCAGCCTAAAAACCAGGAAGAGCACAGCAATTTCACAGTCTTTGGAATTCCCTGAGATCCAGACACCCTCTGTCACTCCAAGAGTCCCAATCAAACTTTCTAGCCACTTCACCGTACCCCCCCTCCCCTTTCTGTGCACTTGGGGTGCAGCAGAACCAGGCCTGAGAAGCCCACCTTTCCTATGCAAAGGAGAAGTGACTCCTTGTTCCTCTTACAAGGCTGGGGGATGCAGAGGTTGGTGGGGCAACACGGCCCTGCAGACCTCTGTGCCCAGATCAGGTGGCTCCTGCCCCAGCCGGGAGGCTTACCTGTGATGGAGACCTTGTAGAGGGGGCGAAGTCGCTGCCCCGGCTGCTCTCCGGGCACGTAGTCCCCAAGGCCGATGGTGCAAAGGGAGATGAAGCAGAAGTAGAAAGCATCCAGGTAACTCCACGACTCCTCCAGCCAGCTGAAGATGGCAGCGGGCACCAGGAAGAAAGCCACCAGCACCGCCGCCAAGAGCAGCAGCAGGTGCCCCCAGGATAGGGCCCGCCGGTTGTACCCCCACCGCCTATCCAGGTAGTCCAGAGGCCCAGAGGTGAAAGTACTGACTAGGCGTTGCACCGTGGCGGTCAGCACCAGCATAGTGAAGGGGACGCCCAGCAGCGCGTAGAAGATGCAAAACGCTTTCCCTGCGTCTGAGAGCGGGGTGGTGTAACCATAGCCTGTGGGGAAGACAAGGGAAAGGGAGCGCCAGTTGGCATGAACGCCAAGAGCAGATATGGCAGGAATCACAGGCAGGGAAGCACTGGGATCTCTAACCCCCCCCCCATTGCCCCGGCTGCAGGGGGGGCCTTTGGCCTTCTCATCCCTTTAAAAAAAGAAAGAAAAATCAAAGTGTCAAGTTGTAAACCCAATTGTTGTACATTTTATAACAACTGGGTGGCACCTCTGAGAGCCAGGGTGGGGTGTAGGAGTCATGGGGGGGCAGGACTTAACAGTGCCCGGCTCCCCTCCCCCCCTGCAGTGGCTCACGGAAAGGGGGGGTGGCTTTTTCTCCGAGCATCCCAGCACACAAAAGGCCCCGGTAGGTGGAAGACCAGATCATATGAGGGAGCAGCTGAAGGAAGGGAGGTATTTTTAGCCTAGGAATGAACAGCTAAAGCTCACGGCGGAATGTGCCAGAGATCCTCCCCTGATCTCCGTTTGGGCTAAACGTTAGCAAAACTGTCAGGAAAGCAGGAAGCAGAATTCCCTTTCTTTGGCAGATGCAATCAGACAGTGACCAAAGGGAGGGCTTTGCACGCTTCTCGCCTGCCATCCTGCTTAAGGGATTATAAACCCCTTTTCCATCTCGCCTGCTCCCAAGATTTCCAGACCTTGGGTACCAAGTAACCAGACAAGAAGAGCCAGCATAGTGGCTCAGTGGCTGGAGTACTGGCTTGAACCCGGATCTCCTGATGCCTAAAGGTCCCACTAAGTCCTGGAACTCATGGGGCAACCTTTTGCCAGTCACGGTCTCTCACCCGGACGCACATCATGGGGTTCTTCCGAAGTTCACGTGGGGAGAGAGATGAAAAGATGGGAAACCAGCTTGCAGGATGAAAAGATGGGAAACCAGCACCGGGCCTGACCCAGCGCCGTGGCCTTTTAAACTGGCCATTTCCTAACAGCGTCTGTCTGTCTGGGGCAGCCTAGGAATCACGAGGGACCCCCTAGACTCAGTTCTCATCAGGAAACATACAGCTAAGTTGGGGTCACCCCCATCTGGCAACTGTCCCTGCAGAAACACTGGAAATTGCTGGCTGGTCCCTGCTTGGATGGATCCTCGCCCTCAGGCAGTCTGTTAGTTCCTCCTGCACCACTGCTGGGGTTTCCCCTTCCAGCAAGCAAGAGAAGAAAGGGGAGAGGGTCCGGGCAAAGGGTGGGTGCATGCAGGGCTTCCTCTGGGCTGGCTGCAAGCCCCGGTGTCCACACCTAATCCCCCCTGGCACCTGCCACCGCCTGTCGCCCAGCTCCTGGGCAGAGTTGACACTGTGCCAGTCAGGAATCCTTGATCCTCTTGGGGGGGGGGGGAAACAGCCACGTGCCAACCTCAAAGGATTCAGCTGCAAAGACTTTCCCTGCGTCAGCAGCACTCAGCATCACCGCTGACTGCACTGTATCTGGACAGGGCACCTCCCCGAGCAGCCACTTCCCTCCTCTTCAGGCAGGACGTGGCACAGCCTCTCCCACAGCCGCTGAGAGATGGCAAGCCAACACAGCCTGTGCAGGCTGCCAGCAAGAGGCCACCGAGGCTGTCTGCTGACTCCTTGATGTTACGGAGGATGTGCAGGGAGAGGAAAAGAGATTTTCCTGAAAACCCTCTAGATTTTCCTGACCCAACCACACCAGGTCACAAAGGCTGTTCAACAGCCTGGAGTATATCTGGAAGAATGCAGTGCCAAGAGGAAGAAAACATGAGCTTTCTTCCCCTTCCAGAAAAAAGAAGGGGAATGTCATTTCCTCAAAAGAGCCTCGGCCAGAAAAAAGAAGGGGAATGTCATTTCCTACGGTCCCACTTCCTGTATCTCACCGTGGCCTCATCAGACACCTCTGGGAGCCCACAAGGCAACCTCAGATCAAGTGGAAATGCTTCCTGTATCTCACCGTGGCCCCATCAGACGCCTCTGGGGGCCCACAAGGCAACTTCAGATCAAGTGGAAATTCTTGAGCTGGATCTGGGGGGTTTAGCAGCAGCAGCAGCAGCAGGCCTTCGATTTTTCCAGTCACCCAACAGTTGAGAGAAGGGGTAGAGCAGAGATCACCAACGGCTACCCACGGTCAAGCATCAGAGCCTTATTAATCCAGGTGGAGCGACTGGGACTTCGGCGGTGGTGGAGGCTGTTGAGGAACAAGCTGACGACAGGACAGGAAGACAGGCAGACCCTTCCCTGGGCTTAAGGCCACAAAACCACCGTTTGTATTTGTGCAACACCTTTTTCTGTGAGCATACATTTCCTGCAAAAGGGAGAGGGAAGCAGAAGGAGAGGGAGCCTGGGCTAGGGTGTCTGCCCCTCTAAGCCCGAGGGCGAGCAAAACGGACATGCTGAAGCAGTGTCCGCTGCTCCCATCCCACCAGGACCATTCCCATGGGGGCATGGGGTCCATCCTTCTCTGTGAGAGGTGGCTGAGCTGCCTAGGAGGTGGGCTGCCCCAGACCACCTAGAGGAAGCCCTTTGTGGAAAACCAGCCAACACAGCCAGGGAGAGTATGAAGACCCATTTTAGGGCATGTTGCATTGTTAAGTGTCATCCAGATGAGTGGCAGGGTCTCTTTTCTGCCCCGTGTTGGTATCCCATCATTTCCCCCAACCCTGGTACCCGCAGGACCACAACCTCAGGGCTTGAGCAGAGTCGGACCACCAATCAGCTCCATGCCTGTCCCACCCCTCTAGACAAAAACAGGATGCAAGTGGCTGGGGACGGCGGGCCTTCTGCTCAGCAGCAGCTGGGTTCCCTGGCAAGCGGATCCAGGAGAGAAAGCTGACACAACCCTGAAGGAGGGAGCTCCCTCTCCACCACCCTGTATACAAACACTCTCACTGCCCCAGCTGGCTGCAGTTAACCCTTCCAGAACATGAACCATGTCCCTCTGGAAGGTGGAGAAGAAGAAGAGTGTGTGCCACCATCAAGGGCACTGATGGGGGGGGACAGCAAAAGCTTCTGGCAAGGCAGACCCCAAAACAAATGTATAGGCCTCATTAACTCCATGTAACCAATGAACATTTAGATTGTGAAACCAATATTTCATCTACATTTCATTCTGTTTCTTTAGGTCTGACGAAGTGGACCATGAAAGCTGACATTAAAATGCAATGGTTAGTCTTTAAGATGCAACAATGATGTTTCTCCTTTTTAAAGTGTCTTTGTTTTGTGTCCTTTTTCTGCATTTTGCCTGATACGCTTGCAAGGTAGAAAGCGCGTCAGAGGAACCACCTGCCAACCCTCTTTTCTACTGAGCCATAGCAGCTAAATGGCCAATCAGGAACCAGCAAGTTGGCCTTTCCTCAGAGGCAGCCAGTAAGGTGCCCCGTGGCCTTCAATGGCCAAAGGGCAGATACTCCCTGGGGATGGCACATTATCCTGGCATGTTTGCTTCCATCAGGGACTGGGGGGGGGGGCTTAATAACAGTGCCTGGGCAAATTACAGCCCTCCAGATGTTCTGGAATTGCAACCCCATCATCCCTGACTGATGGGAGTCAGAGGCCAGCACATCTGGAGGGTCCTAGGTAGCCCAGCCCTGTACTGAGAAACATTTCCCTGCCAGATACAGGGGGAATTGAGCGCCAGGCTGGTATTCCTGTTTTTATCCAGAGCCAAGGGAAAATGCTCTTTAAGAGATTATCATTTTTCACATTTTTGCCCTCTTGTAGGGCAGCTTAAAATCTCCCCCAGGGGCTTCCTTAAACTGAAGGAAATGGAGCAGCCCTTTTCTTAAGAGGCTCCCCGTCCAAAGAACTAGTTAACAGAAAAGGAAGAAGGTGCCCGGAGGGAGGAGGAAAAACAACAGACCCAGGGACCCGGTCACATACATTACGATCAGTTCTGATGATCAGACAGACGGCTGAAGGGGAAACAGTCTGTGCAAGAAGAGGAAATGCCCGGTGAAGCCGAGGGCTGACTGGCGGGGCCAGAGTCACCCCAGTGCGCCAAAAGCCGCCCACCGAACGGGTTTCTTCATTTCGAATACCCAGCGCACTCTCCCCCCCTCCGAATTTCTGCCCAAATCTGGGGCGCACCGGCGTTCGTCCCAGTCGGGGGGCGCAGACCCGGGTGTTGTGGGAGGGGGAGAGAACCGAGGAGTAGCACACCGGGACTGAAGCGGCCGAGGGAGGCCGTCTCGCCGAACACAACCTCGGGGCGTCCTGCCAAAGCAGCCACACAACCAGGTCCGGGGAGGCCAGGGAGAGCTCCGGGCTCCATCCAGGAGGCCGTGGCCAGTGGGGTTCCGGGAGGAGAGAACCCTCGCCGCCGGTCAGGGAAGGCGCCGCCCCCGCGGCCCCCCGGGTGAACTCCCTGCCGGGTACTCACCGACGGTGGTGATCAAGGTGCTGGAGAAGAAGAAGGCCGAGGCGAAGTCCCAGTTGGACGGGGCGGCCGAGCCGTTGCGCAGGAGAGCCACGCCGTGCCGGTTGGCGCTCAGCACGGCGCTCAGGAAGCGCTCCAGGGCGGCCTCGGGCAGGCAGGGGCTCTCGCGCAGGAAGGTGGCTTTGAGGGCCCGCAGCTCGGCCCGCAGCCGGCTCTCGTAGGGCCGCTCGA